GCAGAGTCTCCGCCCCGCTCTCTGGGAAGGCACCCCGGGTCAGGGAGAGACTCCGCCCCTTCTGCCCGTCCACCTTCTTGACCACCCTGGGCATCGCCCGGCCCCTTCCCTGCTCTGGCCTCCTTCCGCCATCCCCCACGCTTGTTCCTGTGTCACCTCTTCCCCACTTCCACCACATGATCCTCCTTGGGTATAGCCACCCCCCCCCCACCCCTGGAGCTCTTCCCACTCCCAGAAGGGACCCCCCGGCTCCCGGCAGGGCAGTGTCGACACTCTCGGGGTATCTATCAGGAAGGAGTTGGGTGGGCCACCCCAACCCCCACTGGGGGTGCATCAGCACCCTGGGCCATTCCTAGGGCACATAGGTTTCACTTGGGGGAAACTGAGGCCCAGAAACTAGGGGCCATATGGAGCCTCGACACTGCCGGAGCCAGCCCGCCGTATGAGAAAGGATGTGTCATCATGGGCTGGGGTGAGTGGGTGGATTGGGGGGGGGGGTTGTCTCACATGCTCCCGACCCTGGGGTCTCAGGGCAGCGCAGGGGGCGCTGAGTGTGCTGGGGCGTTGTTGGGAAGTGCTGGCCCCTGAGCTGTGGGGGACGCCCCTCAGGGCTACCCAGCTCACCAAGCGGCTGCCCTGGATCCTTCTCGTCCCTGCTCGGGCCGCTCCAGGTGGCCCCTTTCCTCTCTGCCCTGCCTCTGGCCCCCGTCTGCTCACACGCATGAACTTCCTGTTTCTCCAGCTCACGTGGCTTCTCCTGGCTGGTGACACATCTCCCGGGGGGCTCCAGGGACCAAGCTCCCCGCCTACACCCCCGATTTTGTGCCCCAGCTGCCTCCTCCAGAAATGGGAGCCCTTAGCTGCCCTCACTGTGGCACTTGGGACAAGACCCCGCAGGGTCCCACCCCCAGGGTCCGGGTCTCCGAAACAGACCACTTCTGGGACATGGCCAGGGCTGTGTGGTACCATCCCAGCCCAGGGGCCCCCGTGGGCTTTCCCATGGCCACCAGCAGAGCCCAGGGCATCCAGATTATCTCCTGCCCCTGTCTGCCTCCACCCCCGCCCCCCGCTCCTCATTCCATGGGACAGTACTTGAATTCCCCAGGTTTTCCCTGCCTAGGGCCCAACTCCACGGGTGAGACATGGCAGCCAAGCCCAGACACACTGGTCATCCCCCAGGCCTCTGCCGCCGAGACAGGCTCTGCCTGGCGGAAATGCCTCTGAACCCAAGGGAAAGTCCTGTATGCGGCCTAGACACCAGGACCCAGACAGGCGCCACCTCCGGCTCAGGCCCTGTCCATTTGTATATCCCTCTGTCCACCCGTGTGTCCATCTACCCATCTATCCATCCATCCATACATCTGTCCATCCACCCATCCGTCCATCTGTGACCTCTGTGTTCCCGCAGGCCAGTGACCCCATGAGCTATTGAGTGAGTGGGAGAAAGCATGTGAGCCCCTGAAGTGGGGCGGGGGCGGGGAGGGGGGGGCGCTCTCAACCGGCAGGAACTGGTTTTAATCTGCTCCCCTCCCACTCTGCCCAGCCCGCTGCTCGGCATCTGCATGTCTGGAGCAAATCTGGAGCCCGTATGCATGAGGCCCGTCTCATCGCCTCTCCTGAGCCCACGCGCCCCCCAGCTCGTCTGCGCTAATCAGGGCTCCCTGACTTCTCCCCACTCGGCGCGGTTAATGCTGAGGGAAGGGGCCGCGGGCTGGCACGCCTGTGATTTGAATGTCTTTACTGTAATCTAGCGAGCGCGGGCAGGGGCTCCCGTCGATACCCCAGCGGCGGCCAGAATGGGCAAATACTGTCAGCCCGGCAGCCCCCGGCCCCACGGAACCAGCGGGGGAGCCCCCGCCAGGCACCCACAATCCCCCCAGACTGCAACCACCCAGACGGGGTCCGGCCCCTCCAAGCACATTGATTCTTTGTTTAGGGCTCGTCACTGTTACAGCATTGCGGGGGGAGAGGGGCAGCGGGGCGTCTCCTCACCAGCCTGGGCCCTGGCAGGATCCTTCTGTATCTCTCCTAGGTGGGATGAAAAAATTTGTGGTGTTCAGTGGGGGCCGGGGGTTACTTCTGTTTTGTTTGTTTGTTTGTTTGTTTGGGGGCCACTCCTGGCAATACCCCCGCATTACTCCTGGCGGTGCTCAGATGCCAGGGATCGCAATCTGCTTGGCCTTGTGCAAGGCCAGCGCCCTCCCCTCCGTGCTGCAGCTCCAGCCCCACCCCTGGCGTCTCAGCGCTGCCAGGGCCCTGTGGAGCCCAAAGCTAGGGCTACCCTGGCTCTGCGGGGTCCTTGCGGGGGGACCATGGGGATCCAGAGTCTGAATGAGGGTCGGGTACAGACAGGGCCTGCACCCTGACGCCTACACCAGCTCCCAGGGCGGTCCGCGGTCAGGAGTACCTCCTGCTCCCCAGCCACCCACAGCCTCGGGGAGAAGCCGTGGGCACGATGGGGAGAGCTGGGGCTGGGGGAAGAGCACTAGAGAGCAGACTCTGCCCCTTGGGGGTCACAGGCCTGGGGACAGTCCTGACCACAGGCCCAGCAATGATCAGGTCAGACACCCCAGGGGGGTGGGGAGGGGGGGTGCTAGGCACCATGGTCACGCATTCTCTCCCCAGCCCCATTCTGCATTTCTTAACCAACATCCCAAGCTTTGCCCTGGGGGCTGGGCCTGGGGCTGTCCCTGGAGAGTATAGTGATGGGTCCTGCAGGCACCTTCTTAAATTCCTAGTCACCGGAGAAGCCTCTGACGATTTCTCAGCATACACACACACACACACACACATGCGCATACACACACACAAATATACACACATGCATGCATGCGTACATGCACACGCACACACATATGCACATGGACACACGCACACACATGCACACACGCACATACACCCACATGCACACACACATATGCACATGCTCGTACACACACATGCGCAAGCACACACACGCACACACACACACACACACACACACACACACACACACACACCCATACCCTCTCCGCATGCACCAGGAAGGGGCTGTGGGGAAGCCGCTGGCTGGGAGGAGTGAAGCAGTGGAGAAGACAACCCCAGGGATGGAGCAGCATGGGCGGGAAAGCAAAGCAGAAGGTGGGGAAGGGGTGCACGTGGTAGGGGTTTGGGGACAGGAAGGTGACACCAAGGGCCCCCGGGTGGCTCAGGAAGGGTCTGTGAGCCCCTGCGTCCATGCCAGCAGACGCGGCTCCTGCTTGCGGGAGCACGGTGCCCGGCGGAGGCAGAAACAGGCTTCCAGTCGTGGCTGAGCGTCTTGTCTCCGTGATCCCAGCTCTGGAGCTGAACAGACGGCGACTCACTCATCAGAGGCAGCGCTGGCCAGAGAGCAGGCACTGCCCCAGAGAGCGCCGAGAGGGGAGGGACGTAGGTCCAGGGCAAGGGGCAGGAGAGCTTGAGGAGGGTCCCTGGGAAACAGGGGGTGGGGGCACCGCAGAGGAAAGGGAAGCCCCCCGAGACGGGGTGCAGCCCTGATGGCGTGGTTAGGGGGAGCTTGGGCCAGAGTTGAGGTTTGGGGAGTTGGGGTACTGGCAGGCCGTGCGGTGGGGGGAGGGGGGCACTTGGGAGCGTGAGGAAGCTGTCAGACCTGGTGCTGTTTCCCTGGGGCTGTCGGAGTGTGAGGGAGGGGCTGTGCTCAGAGAGACAATCAGTTGTCCCATGTGGTTGCAGGGTCAAGAGGAAAACCACAGGCCACAGGAACGGAATTCTGGGTGGGCATTGGGGGCTGGTCACTCGTTCATCTCAACAGTTCAGCGCAGGAGGGGACAGCCCTAAAATGTCCTGAAAAACTGCCTTTTTCCTGAGCAGTAAGGATGTGTGTGTGTGTGTGTGTGTGTGTGTGTGTGTGTGTGTGTGTTCGTGTCCCCGCCTCTCTCTCTCTCGCTCACAAAGTCAAGTTTGCATTATTTTCTTCTCACTTGGGCAGCCAGGAAGCTCAGTGCGGATTAACATGCTCTTAGGAAGTGTGTAGGCTCTGCCACTCATTTCCCAAATAAATACCTTATGCATATTTATGCATCTTCCAGTCCTGTTGTTGTTGTTGTTGTTGTTCCTAAGCTGCCACCATTTCTTTGTAAACTGGGTGGGCTGTAGCTGTCAAACAGAACAGTGCTCCTCACCTTGATTTTTTTTTTTTCCGGGCTATCCTCATGAGCTTGTTCAGCCAGGGTCTACCCAGTTGCTGAGCTAATATTGGCTGGATATAAGCAGGAGGAACTCTGAGAATTTGCAGCAGGCAGACAGTAAATTTAACACTCAGGTAACTCATTAAAACAGGATAAAAGTGGAGCTTCAAACGTCTCTGCTTTGCGCCCGGCCTGCCGAAGGAGGGGCCCCTTCCTTCTGCTCAGGATAGGAAAGTCAGATCTCTCGGCATGGAGAACACACCACCGAAATTAAAGGCTTGTCTGCACCATGTGCGTGCCACAGACCTTCAAAGAAGGATGGAGGTGTTGACGACCAGAAGGGATTATTTTTTTAAGCTTGGGGTGTCATTTTCTTGACTCAAAAAAATGTAGTTTGGGAACAGCCAACCACCTTCTCCAAGCACGGTGCGGTGTCCTAGCTGGTCTGGCTCACCTTCCGTCCTCCCTGGCTTCTGATGGAGTCGTGCGGTTCTCGTGGCTTGTGGTTGGTTAAGATCAGTGCATAACCCGTTTGCAGACTGTTCACGGACTGGAGTCTTTGGCAGAGGCGACGAGGGTCGGGGGACGACCAGGGGGCCCAGAGGGTTCTTCCCTGAGCATGAAGAGCATGGGAATGGTCCTGTAGAGCCTTGTAGGGTGGGGTGCAGAGTGCCCTCTGGGCTTCCTCCCCTGCTCCCAGGGGCTCTGTCAGCCTGGGGAGGCCTCCCGCTGCAGGGATTGTGTGGATAGCTGTCTCCCCCTCCAGGGCAGAGGCATGGGGTGCCGCCAAGCCTGCCCTTCCCCAACCCGCCTGTGCTATCTCCCTCCCTCCAGGAGGAGCCCATCACCTTCTGCGAGGAGGCCTTCGTGTCCCACTACCGCTCGGGGGCCATGCGGCAGTTCCTGCAGAGTGCCACACAACTGCAGCTCTTCAAACAGGTGAGCCCCTCCCCCCACCCGGGGAGCCGCCAGCCCTGTGCCCGCTCTCAGCCCTGGGTTTGTAGGCCTGGCTGGAGGAGATGGGGTCCTCCCAGCCCCTCTGCACTTCTGCGATGTGTGTGTGCACGTAGGCGAATGTGTGTGCGAATGTGTGCGTGTGTTAGCGAGTGTGTGCGTTTGCATGTGTGCATGGGTGCATGCCTGTTTGGCCGTGTGCCCTTGTACGTGTTTGCACGCATGTGCTGATCTGTGTGTGCATGTTTGCACATCTCTGTGTGTGCATTGCGTAGGTTTACATGTCTGTGTATCTCCCGTATGCATGTGTGTGTGTGCTCGCATGTACATCTACAGATGTTTGTGTGTATGTCTGTGCACGTTTGCATGCTCTTGCACATGCATTTTGCATGTGTGTTCCTGGAGCACACAGCTGGAAACTGCCTGTGGACACTTGCTTCCTGAACCAGAAGGTGCTTTAGTCCACCCTTCAGGGGCCCAGCTGGATGGGCGTGCACACACACACACACACACACACACACACACGCTGTCACACTCATGTTCTTTCTTTCCGCAGTTTATTGATGGTCGATTAGACCTTCTCAATTCCGGCGAGGGTTTCAGCGACGTCTTTGAGGAGGAGATCAACATGGGCGAGTATGCGGGTGAGGAGACCCATTTCCAGTCTGCTCTGGTCCCTGGGCTCCAGTGGGAAGGGGGCGGTGGGGGGAGCACAAGAGGATGGCAGTGACTCACTGGGGGCGTGGGGAAGACTGATTTCAGCCTTGGCCCTGAAGTGCGTGTTAAGGGGTTGGTTTTGTGAAGAGGTGCTTGGCCCCTCAGAGACGCTAGTCCTGAGTCCCTGGGTGCCTGCCCCCTGTGGGGGGGTGGGCAAGCAGAGGCATCTGGGCCCGCATGGAGCAACAGAATGCTTGTGGGGGCATTTTGTGAGGAGGCCTGGCCTAGACGGGGGTGCTGGCTCCTTGCTGGTGGGGAGAACCCAGGCAGCGGTTCTGCCATCCCCGCCATCTCCCTATCTCTGCCCCCAGGGCTCCTCCTGAGGAGGGAGGGTTGGAGAGAAAGATTTTGTGCACCCCCAGCGCAGACCCCTTTCAGTAACTGTTTCCTTAGAAGGTGGAAACCACGGCAGAGCCTCTGCTGACCTTTGGAACTGAGGATGGGGAGGAGGGGTGAGGGACATGCAAACACACACACACGCATACACAGACATGCAGACATGCAGACACACGCACTGAAACATGCACGGGCTTACGCGCGCACACACAGCACACCTGCAGGTGAGAAGGGCTGTGCGGGCCCCTCCTCCCCTCTGTCCAGTGCAGAGAGGGACCCGAGCCACCCTGGTCCTGAACCCCAGCCCGAGGTCTTGGGGGGGGTGGGAGAATGAAAACTCGACGCAGGGGCTGGAGAGGGGCCACAGCGTGGGGGGAGGGGGGCGCTGGACACGTGCACGGCCGATCCCAGTCCGATCCCAGAGCACAGAGACAGGAGGAAGCCCTGCGCACCGCTGGGTGTGTGGCCCCCAAACAGCACCAACTAAGTGCAAATAAGCCACCATGTGGGGCCGGGGAGAAAGCGCTTCCTGTCTTGGCAAATTCTGTCCAGTCACTGGAGCCTCAAGAAGAGCAGGCGTGCCCCTAAAGTGAGCTGGGCTCTGTGGCCACGGCTCCCGGCGGCCCAGAGCCCTGCAGTGAGGCGGGTCCGGGGCCTGTGCTGTGGGCCGCCCTGAGGGCTCCTCACCCCTCTGAGAAGGAGGCCCTGGGAGGTTGGGGGCCCCCGAGGGCCATGCAGAGTCAGGAGAAGCTTGGAGGTCCTGAGGTCCAGGGCAGGGGCGTGGGGATGGTGGTAGACAGGGGTGTGGGGTGGGAAAGGGGGGTTAGCGGGGGTGTGGGGAGGGGGTGAGCAGGGGAGTGGGGATAGGAGTGGGCAGGGGTGTGAGGAGAGGGTGGGCAGGGGCGTGGGGATGGGGTGAGCAGGGGAGTGGGGATGGGGTGGGCAGGGATGTGGGGGTGGGCAGGGGCATGGGGAGGGGGTGGGAGTGGGCAGGGATGTGGGGGGTGGGCAGGGGGGTGGGGATGGGGGTGAGCAGGGGTGTGGTGAGGGAGTGGGCAGGGGTGTGGGGAAGGGGTGGGCAGGGGCACTCCCTGGGGGTGGAGCCTATGGCTGCTGCGGCTCACTATGCCCTCCATGGCCGGGGGAGGCCTTGAGCCTGGGCCGGGCCGCCGGGTGGCTGCCGGGGAGTGGGGGCTGTGCAGGTGACCCCCGAGGCCTGGCCCTTCCTTCACGACGGCTTCTGTCTCCGCAGGCAGCGACAAGCTGTACCACCAGTGGCTCTCCACCGTCCGGGTAAGTGTGCTGCCCTGCGTGGCCACCTGGACCTCCCCTTGGCCTCTGGCCGCCCTCACTCCCCCCCCCCCCGCCACACCCCACCCCCACGCCCCCACACAGCCGGCTGGCTGGCATGAGGCCAGAGCATTGCAGTCTCCCAGCTGAGCCAGGCCCCTCTGCGACCAGGTGCAGGGTGGCAGGGAGGGACCATCCTGAGTCCCGAGCGCCAGCGGGCCCCTCACCGGAACACCCGCCCGTGGGGTGCTGACAGCGTAGCTGGCCGGGGCACGGCTGGCTGGCCGGAATGTGTCTGTGGGGACACAGAGGGCCCACCCCCCTTGCTCCCTCACACCGCAGAGGCTCCTGGCAAGGTGGAGAAGCGCTTGAGCCCCTTGCCATGGCTGGCAGTGGTCTCCGTTGAGAGGTGCCAGGTGCCGGGAGCCTTGGCATCACTCGCGGATTGAAAACTCTGGCTTCTGCCCGGCTTCTGTTTCCCAGGGCTGAGTGGGGAGGGCTGCTGTGTGCCAGCGGCCTGGGGGGGGGGGGGGGGGGGCGCAGGCACGGGCGGGGCGCTCCCGTCTGGCTGGGGAGGCGGGCAGGTAAACAGGCCCCGCTGACGTGACGTGACGCCTGTTCTCCCCTGCTCGGGGCCAAGCGCAGCTGCCAAGGCAGGCCCGTCAGCGGTGGCTGCAGTTGTCCGGGCGTAAGCACTTCCCCGGAGAAAGACGCCCTTTGTTCCCCCTGGATGGCCAGGCAGGCACTTGGCAAGTCCCAGACACGCAATAAGGACTTGTTGATTGATTGATAAAGGGCGTTTTAATACGCCAAAGGACCATTGAAATCGGATCCCCGGTAATTTTGGAAATCAGCATGGAAGAAATGAGTGGGTAAAAATGTGCGTTGTTGTCCTACTAATAGAACGCTTTCTAGGTCAGTTTGAGACGTGCTTAATGGACGCTCAGAATTTCCACCACAGTCAGTTCACAGACTCTGTGGTCCGAGGCCGTCTCCCTAATTGCATTATCACGCCTCACCCTCGGCTGTGCCCACAGGGTCACACCGGCAGCATCCTCCCAAACGGGCCTGGATCAGGCTCCGTGGTGTCTGGTACTAATGATGGTCTCGGGACAGCATGGAGCTCAGTGTTCAGAGCGTTTGTCTTGCACGCTGAGGCCCTGATTTTTTTGGTTCCCAGCAACCTCCTCTCCAAAAAAAAATACACCTGCCTTTAGAATAAAGCTGGGTCGTTTTTCGTTTTGGGCCAGGCTGAGAGCTCAGTGGGCTGAAGTGTGCCCTGAGCACTGCAGGGTGTGACCCCAAAACAAAAAGGTCCTGGAGCACAGCACAGTGGGGAGGGTGCTTGCCTTGCACGCGGCTGGCCCCGTTCTATCTCCGGCACCCCATCTGGTCCCCCTCCACCCCCAAACACCAACAGGAGTGCTCCCTGAGCCCAGAGCCCGGGGGTAAGCCCTGAGTACTGCCGGGTATGGCCCCAAACAAAAGCCAAATGAATGCAGATCCTCTCATGCGTGGTCTCCCAGCCCTTGTTCAGTGAGCGCCACTGTTGGCATGACTTTCCCCTGTGGCCCCTCAGAGTATCCTGGGCGCCCAGAGGGAGACAGATGGCCCCGCATTGAGAAACTGCTCCCCAGCATAGCCAGTGGTCTACACCCGTGAGGTAGCAAAAGTCCTTGGACTGGGGGGCTGAGGACCAGAGGTGGAGACACCTCCGCCAGCCCCTCAGGAACCCCATGCCCACTCCTCCTGTCACTCAGCGCCTGCTGGAACTCTGGGCTCTTGCACTCCGTGGCCTGCTCCCGAAAACCCCGCATGTTCCTCTCCCCCCTTGTGAGCTCCTCCTCATCTTCTGTGGACCTGACCACCCCTGACCCGCCGTGACCACCGTTTCCCCACCACACCCCAAACTCTGAAGGCAGATCCCGGCCCTCCTGGGGCTTGATACCCCCAGCGGCTGCTGGGGGGTTTCCTCAAAAGATCCCTCCACAGAATGTCGGGGGACAGGGGACTTGGAAAACAGAGGGTGGTCCCCAAACTGACTGTGACCCTCGGCTTGGGGACAGGGATCCACAAGCCAAAGGGTAGTATGGCCACTGAGCCTCGGGGCCAGCCCTCACCGCCCCCGGGGTGCCTCCGAGCACCTCCCCTGCTCCCCCAAAGGCAGCAAGCTGAGAGCGCAGTGAGCTTCCTACCACGCCAGACGCGCGGCCGTCCACCCTCTCTCCATGCTGAGGAAGGCAGCCTGCCAAGGTGATGCAGGGGCCGGCCCAGGGCTGCAGAGAGCACTCAGGGCTGAGCGCAGGCTTTATGAGAGGGCAGGGTTCAACCCCCCCCCCCCCGCCCACCCCAGCGCCACTAGGAACCACCCTTAACTAGCACCTGGGGCGCCTGGGGGGTCTGGCCTCCTCCCCAAAAGAACAAGCAGAGCAAGAGCAGAGGGAGCGACTGACAGCTATATTTCCAGAACAGTCCACACCCAGGCCCCCGAGTCTGTGTCCCCACTTGGGGCCACCCCCAGACTCTGTGTCCAGGAAACTGACCTTGGCGTTGCCCTTGGGAACGAGCAGATTTCTGGAGAAGCCGTAGACCACGACAGGGACGGGGTTCTCCTCGCAGCTAGAGTGGAGGGACTGAGCCAAGGACCGGACCCGAGTCCTGGGCCCCTCGCAGAGTTGCCTGTCCCCCCAGCCTGTCCCCCTTCCCTCCCCATGCCCAGTCACCCGGCACGGCAGATTCTTGGTGGTGCCACCGCCGGAACGAATTGCCGAGCATCCATCACCGTCTGGGGCTGCTTCTCTAATTAAATCCCACGCTCTTGAAACGACGCTTAACTTGATTAAGGAGAAGAGGTCTTTGTGGGTGTCGGCCCTCTCTGTCTTCAGCCGGAATCGCTAATTGACGTTTTTATTACAGAAAGGGAGCGGGGCCATCCTGAACACGGTGAAGACGAAGGCCAACCCAGCCATGAAGACTGTCTATAAGTTTGTAAGTACCGACCCCGGTGGCACCCCGGCAGCCCCCCTCAGCTCTGCCCTGCCGGGGACCCTGAGATCTCCGATCGGCTCCTTAGTGCCGAGCTTGGTGCGGGGACCATTGAGTGGCTTCCCACAGCGCCCAGGGCCCTGGGGATGGTTATATGAGGCTATTTTACAAGCAGGTCAGTGACTTTTTTTTCCCACCCTGTGACAGCTGCGGGAAAGTGGGAGGCTCTTGGCTTTAGCTTTTAAAATGTAGACTGGGCCCCGGGGAGATGCTTTGTCTGCCTGCAGGAACCCCAGCAGTAGTGACTGGCACCATCTGGTCCCCGAAGCGAGGCCAGGGACATCCCCCCTAAACTCTACATTCAGAGTTTCCTCTAAATGCCATAGGGAGTGACACCTCCCCGCCCCATCCTCTCCCCCTACCTCCAATAAAAAAGTGCTCTGGATAAGCGAACATTCTGGCCGCCCCAAGCCAGAATCTTGTCTAAGATGCAGAGACGTCTCTGCAGGGGTCTCTAGCAAACCATTCCCATACAGACCCCTTGAATGCAGCTGCATGCGGGAGCTCCTGTGCAGGCCAGGGCGCCCCCCGCCCATGGTCCCGGTTCTCCCTCCTCTCTCCCCTCTTCCCCCAGGGCAGACGTGTGGCCATGAGAGCAGTCAGGATGCTGCCTGGCTCACAGGCCTCCCGCCCACTTCGCCATGATTTCTCTGGCCACTGGCTTGACGCCGAGGGAGGGGCTTATTTCCATTTTCAGTTTTGTCCGGCCTTTCCCGTGCTTCTGTTTTGCTTCTTTTAACAAGAGCGGGCGCCGCCAACAGAACCACTGGGGGCTAAAGTGGAAGAAAATGAAAGCACGTGTGTCCCCTGAAATGCGACAGGGAGGAGCTGGAGCCATAGCACAGCAGGGAGGGCGTTTGCCTTCCACGCAGCCAACCCGGGTTCGATCCCCAGCATCCCATATGGTCCCCTGAGCACCACCAGGGGTAATTCCTGAGTGCATGAGACAGGAGTAACCCCTGAGCATCGCCAGGTGTGACCCAAAAAGGAAAAAAAATAAAAGATAAGAAAAGAAATGGAGAAAGCCAGGGCCGGCCAGCGCCAAGGCCGTCTGTCCTCACGAACGTTGGCGCCCAGGCCCTGCCCCGGCGGGACAGGCCACAGCAAAGCTCCTGCTCTCCCAGCTGCTGTCGCCAGGCTACTGCAATAAATAGTCACAGCGAGCAGAGGAAGGGCTTCCAAAGGGGGAGAGAAATCCATGCCATCGTGGTGCAGGAAATAAAAATCTCTGCAGCCCCCTTAAGGGATTTTTTTTTAAATTTTGGCTCCTTCGTCCCTTTTAATGTGGTGTTTGTTTTCCTCGCCATTATGTTTTCAACTCCATGACCCCTCTTGTCCCTCCCATTTTCTAGTCATCAGAGAAGGCCATCCACCGCGGACTGAAATCAAGCATCATCCCTGCTGGAAACAGAATGGGAATCTTAACTTAAATTAATTTTTCATGCAGGCAAAAGATCATGCAAAAATGGGAATAAAGGAGGTGAAAAACCGCTTGAAGCAAAAGGTACTTGAAGTTTCTTATTCAAAATGTATAAGCACCATGTCTGAAAATGCGTGGCCACAAAAAAAAAAAAGAAAGAAAGAAAGGAAAGTCTGATGTGATCAATAGAGGCCTGTTTGATACAGTGTTGTTAGCACACTTCAAAATGCATTACCAGCTGTCCAGGAGCTTTCACACTGTTATAAATATTCACAGACAAAAAAACTGTCTTCAGATACCATTAAGACTCCAGCTTAAACCCACAAAGACTGAAGCTAGTTCAGAGTCACCCCCTTCGGCTGACCCCGATGGGTCTTGGGGATTACTAGGGCCCCCCTGCCGGCCCCACCTGCGGCTCTGTCCCCTGGGGCAGGTGGGAGGCACCCCAAGGAGCACCTGCAGGCCTGTGCTAGGTCCTGGCAGGCAGGTGCCCCACCCAGAAAGGTGGTCAGTTCACTCCAGGAAGTCCAGCGTTTCTGGTGGAGACTCCAGACAGGCAGGGAGAGGCCCTGGCCAGCTCCCTGGATGGCTGACACAGGTGTGTGGAATCACGCAGCCTGATTCTCTCTCCTTGTCCGGCGAGGTGGCCATGAGTGCGGCCACCGTTGTTGTTGGTGCTGTGCTTCCCTTGCCGAGGACCCTGTCATCCAGATCCTGTAGTTTGTACGTCGAGTCTTTAGAAGAGCCCCAGGGAGACCTCATGGGCATCAAGGTCCCGGCCCTGTATTTGGCTTCCTGACTTCCGGTTTGATCCCTGACACCTCATGGCTGGGCCCCAGCATCATCGGAAGTAGCTCCAGAGCCAGGATTTGCCTACCCTACCCCCTCCACCCTCCCGAGCACAGCTGGGTGTGGCCCAGAAACCCAGCTTATTATATATATATATTTTTTTTTTATATTTTTTTAAGGTGAAGTCATTAGCCCTATGCCCAGGCTCTAGATCCAGCCACTCACAGCCCCCGTGCCCATCCCAATACAGTATATTTCCTGTGGCATCCTAAATAAGTGACTCATCCTCCAATAGACACTTGGCAAAACTTCGCTGTCCTGCCCCCAACCCCCAGATGCATCCCTCTAATACAGGGTCTTTGTCTGTCTCGGCAGTTTTGGGGTTTTGTTTTGTTTTTAATTGAGAGCAGTTTTAATTTTATGAACTCAGAAAGGACCTCTCATTAACTCCAAATGGTCGAAGGAATTGATTCTTTTCTTTTAATTGGAAAATAATTTGCTCCGACTAAGCACTTAAATTCCGACTTTCAGCTGAGAGTGGAGTTTTAGCAGCTGAGATCCAAGCCCTGAAATAAAAGTCCTGCCATGTCTAACTCTGAGCTGACCTTACCTGGGACCGGGCAGGGGCGGGGTGTGGGGTTGGTGGGAGGCTGCGGATCTTGGATGTGAAGTCCCTAAATCACCCCTTCCGGCTCCTCTCTCAGAACCTGGATCTGACGGGGAAAGAGGGAGAAAATAGACTCACAGTGGGGCCGGAGCCATAGCACAGCGGGGAGGGCATTTGCCTTGTATATGGGCAACCTGGATTCAATCCCTGGCATCCCATATTGTGCCCCCAAGCCCATCAGAAGTGATTCCTGAGTGCAGAACCAAGAGTAAGCCCTTTGTACCACTGGGTGTGACCCAAAAACAACACCCCCCCTCGAGACACACACACACACACACACACACACACACACATACACACCACACAAAATTAAAAAATTATAGAGAGTCACCGGGAACAGGGAATTTTCTCTCTGCATTTTCCCTCTTTGGTGACTCAACCCCAGGCCCTGGCTGGGATGCTGGTAGAATATCTAGTCGGGCATCACAGGAAGTGCCCGGACACTTTACCGCCTGCGCCCCTCAGCTCTGCACTCTGGGCTTTCCTCTCCCTCCCCACAGCTGCTCGTGCTGGGCCCGGGGTTCAGCCCCTGGCCCTGCATAGCACCACCCCATCACCGGCAGCATCACCGGCAGGAATCCTAGTAACCACCACCCACCCCCTGGACCCCCCCCCCCCATGGCCTTCACACTCACACTAGCAGCCAGAGACAAAAGCCCCTTTCTGAGGGAGCACTTCCAGCACTTCCAGCCCAGCCCACCCGGGTGGGACCTGGGGGGCTCAGGGAGTCTGGCAGAGGTGGCGGCTGAACCCAGAGCCTCACACACACCAGGCGAGTTGCTTGCTCACCAGATCCACAGGGCCAGTCCCAGGAAAAATATATATATATTTTTTATATTTATTTTTTATTTTTTGACCCACGCCTAGTCACACTGGGGGGCGGGGAAGGTGGTCCTAAGGCTCCCGTCCTTCCATGCCTCCCCTGTCCTTGCCTGGCCTGACCAACACCTCTGGCAGATTTCCCCTCCCCAACACCCCTGCCCCTGCCAGTCTTTGCAAGAATCACGTTGGGAGCTAATGTTCCATAGAGTGTCAGGACATCTCAGGTGACACACGCACACGCACGCACACACACACACACACACACACACACATACACACACACGCAAACGGGCGACGGCACTTTATAGAAATGCGACTTGTCACCATCGAACTGTTGACAGATCCATTAGAGCACCCTTTTCAATTTTCACTTTTCCCCCCTTCAGTCTTACAGATTTTTCCAGACTTGATGTTTGTGGTGGTTCTCAGAGGCAGCTGTTTTGTCACTAAAACTCCCCAGCATTGTTCCGTGTCTATCCACGGAGCTGGTCTTCCCGACCAGGCGCCCCGGCCGCCGTTGTCTGGCTCGTTTTAGGATGCGGCTCTGTTCTGTCTGACCCCGCTCACTGCCAGGGAAAAGATTTCCATGTTCTTTTTTTCTTTTTTTTTCCCTTTTTTTTTTTTTTGGTTTCTCTTTCTCTTGGCTGCCCCCACCCCTGACCCCACGGCTGTACATGAGGCTTCCTGGCAGGTGTGATACAGACGTGTCCGGTTTGGTTCTGCTAGGAAATCGAGACCGTTCCGCCACAAAGATCCAATTTTCAAATGTGCTGGGCTGCCACCGGGCCGCCTCTTAACTCAGCCTAGCAGCAGTGACCCCGTGGATATCAAGCGTCCAGCCCCTCCTCCACGCCCCCCCCCCCCTCGCTCTCCTTGAGCTTAAATTGCCACCAGAGGATGCAGGGCCCGGCCCTGTGGCGAGGTCGCCCCAGTGTGTGGAGAAACCATCTCTAATGTGCCCACACGGGTCCCTTTGCCCCCACTTGCTCTTTTGTGCTGTGGACCCTCAAAGGCTTAGCGAGGGGAGCTGCCCTGTGACAGCTGGCAAGTCATCACTGAGAGATCTGGTCGTGGGCCTTTCTCATCCAGAGCAAAGACGGGGGGACGGGCCCCCTCTCTCCCTGGATAAATCGGGCAGGGTGGGCAAGTCCTTCCACAGCGCAGCCCCCTTTTGAGTCTGACTTGCTCAGGATGAGGAAGAAGAGCCCCAAGACACTCACTGGTCAGGCCAGCCCAGAGCACATGCATGGGGTCCCCGCTAGGTACAGCTGGCAGCCCTGTGGCCAGCCTGGGCCTATGACTGTCCACATGCACCATTCTTGCCGCAGCCCACAGGCCAGCAGGCAAAAACCATTTTCAGGGTGATGGTTCATAGTGACTCCCCTCGGGAAGGAACATTGAGCCACATCAGGAACTCTGTCTACACACACACACACACACACACACACACACACACACACACACACCTGTCTACGCACCCCTCCTCACGGTACTACCACTCCAGCCCACTACCCATCCCCTTTAAACTTTCTGACTCTTGGATCTTTGAAGGATTGATCAGCTCATTGATTCCGAGCCTCTGGTTGGTTGGAGCAGCTTCACAGCTGGCTCAGGCCGGGGGGCAGAGGAAAGGCCAGGCCCGGGTTCTGGCCACGTAGCTTCACTTCTGAGGTCAGCAAGGGAGGAGGGAAAGAGCTTTGTGTTGCAGGGATGGAGGCAGACTCCTGTGGAGGAAGGCCAGGAGGCGTTCACACACACACACACACACACACACACACACACACACACCCCTGTCTACACACATACACACACACTCACACACACCCCTATCTACACACACATTCTCTCTCTCTCTCTCTCTCTCTCTCTCTCTCTCTCTCTCTCTCTCTCTCTCTCTCTCTTTCACACACACATACACACACACACACACGCACGCACGCACGCACACACCCATCTCTGGGCCCCTTAGTCTGCTGAATGGAGCCCGGGCCCCAGCACTTTCCCTGCCAGTCACAGGCCAGCCCTGGAGACTCTTTGTCTCTCAGCGTTCCTACTCTCATGTGCATTTGCCCAGGTGTGGAGTAGATAGGGAGAGGGTGGGGGCCGCAAGTGAGAATGGGGAGCAGGAGGCTGGGGAAGCGATGGTAAAGCCACTGCTTTTGCCCCCGCCCCAGCACCTCTGCAAGTTGGGTTTTCTGAGACAGACCTGCTGGGGTCAGACCTTCAGAGCATGAAGGCTTGCCTCTGTGTGACGTTGGGTCAGTGACTAGCCCTCTCTGAACCTGATTTGTAGTCTCTCCTTGTCGACTTAGGAACACACAGGGTGTGCGCTGAAGCGTGAGGCTGAGAAGAGGTGACGGACGTAAATGACGATACTAAATGGTTGTGCGATGTAGGGGAGCTCCATCCTGTCCATCCCCTCCGTCTCCCACCCGGCACAGCCAGTGTGCTACATCCCGCAGAACAGGCCACCCTGGGACCCTCCCCGAGCCGCCACAGAGCACTGGGGCAGTCTCTCTAGAACACGCTCCGGCCAAGCCCCTCTGTGGCTGAAACTCTTCAGAGGGTCCATCTCCTTTCCCGGGGGAGCCTGGAGTATCCCTCGGCTGGACCCGTACCCCTCCTTAACCAGGCCCCTCTCCCCACCTCCCCGGGCCCCAAACCCTCAGCCCCTCCTGGTCCGTGTCCCCTGCGTCCACTCCGGGGGCTGTGTCCAAGGACGAGCCAGTCCCCGGACGTGCATGGGGATGAGGACCGGATCTGGAGTGTCATTAAGGCTTTGCTTCCCCACAGAAGGGGGATGGGCATCCCGGGGGAGCCCAGGACTCGGGGTGAGGGCAGCCATGCCCTGTGCTGACCACGCTTGGCCACCCTGTCCAGCTACCCCGTGTGACTCTCCAGCGGGAACAAACTCCCCACTCCTGTCAGCTTTGCGCCTTTTTTTTTATGACATTTTTTATGACATTTTGAAGGTCGCTGCTTTCCTGTTTACTAACAGAAATCATGACTTTTTTTTTATTGAGAAAATTGAACAAACCAGACACCAAACACCAAGAAAATCATCTCCTTGTGTGACCTGTGCTTTTCCTGCCCCTGCCCCACCTTAGCCCACGTTCCCTGCCCTCTCTGTGCTCCAGTCCTTTTAAATGACTCCGAGAGTCTTACCAGATAAGGGGAGGCCTTCGTCTCTCTTCATCTCTCTCCATCTCTCTCCATCTCTCCTCCCTTGGGGGGGGAGGGGGACACAGGAGTTCTAGGTTGGTTGGTTGGTTGGTTGGTTAGTTGGTTGGTTGGTTTTCTCTCTAGGCAAATCTGCTTGGTGCAACCTTGCAGAAATTCCTCCATGGCTGCTTCTGGAAATTTTTCTAGAAGCGGAACTTGGGGGCCAAATGGCTTTGGGGCCCATGGACGGAGAAACCCCGGCCCATGGCTCAGCCCCTGGGAAGGTCTGTGAGTCCCTGTTCTTCCCATCCCCTTCCCATGTTCCCAAGACGCCGATGTCTTCTAGGCAGCCCTCAGGCCCTCGTTTCTCCATTCCTGGAATGAAGTTGTGGGATCCCACCCACAAAGAAGACAAAGTGAACCTTGCTAGGGTGTGACCTGGCCCTTCCTTTTCTCCACCTGGACGCCCACCCCCCCCATTCCCTGCCTACTCTGCTCCCCCTCAGGTCCTGAGAAGCTCTCATGTCCTTCCCTACTGGCCAGAGGGGTGGGGAGTGCATAGGTCAGTGCAACGAGCCAGCAGACTCCTGGGAGCTGCCAGCGCCTGTGGCCCTCGGGCCAGACAAAGTTTGCAAGCAGCCTTGGGTCCGAGGCGCACACGGCACCTGCTCCCTTTTCCATGCTCCACGCAGCCAGGACTGCAAAGTCAGGGCTTGGGACAGGGCTGGAGGCAGGAGCTGGTACCACAGTGAATGCCCTGAGGGACCAGGAGAGCTCAGCGTGTAGATGCCCTCAGGTGTGACAGGCTTGGGCACTGAGGGTGTCAGTCAGCATAGCAGATGAGAAGGCAGTCGGTGCAAGGGCTCCCCGAGGCCCTCTGCAGACCACCTGTGCCACCCATGGGTGCCGTGGCCGGTGGGTGGAGAAAGCCAGGGATTCCCAGGGTGCAGGGGTTCTGCAGTGACTTCCCATCTCTCACCCATCACCCAAGAATCCCCGGCATGGTGCTGTGTGATGGTGACGGGAGCTTGGCCCCTGCGAAGGTCAGCGGGGGTCTGGACAGACCCGCCTGCCTCTGTGGGCTCCCGGCCGCTCAGCTCAGGGAAGCTCCTTCCTCGCAATTGCGGGACGTGTGTACACTGGCTGCCGCCCCATTCTCCACCAGCCCTTTCTCCCAGCAAGCCCTAAGCACTTGGTGGTCTCCCCATCATCAAAAAAAAAAAAAATAGATCTGTGCATGGGGGTTGAACACATTGGAAAGATCAGCCCACCATTCACGACAAACACAGAGTAGGAGAGCGTGCTTTTATACAGACACTTCCCCCAGCTGCCACCGTCATTCAGTGAAACGGCCATCACCTCCCGGTGACCATCATTCTGTGCCCTTAATGGGCTCTCTGACAGTCCCGTTTCTTTTTTTTTTGGGGGGGGGGTCACACTTGGCGATGCTCAGTGGTTACTCTGGCTCTGCACTCAGGAATAACTCTTGGCAGTGCTTGGGGGACCCTATAGGATTCTGGGAATCGAACCCAGGTCGGCCATGTACAAGGCAAACGCCCTACCCGCAGTGCTATCGTTCCAGCCCCCGGTCCTGTTTCTTTTTCTTTTTCTCTATTTTTTGTCATCAATCACTCATCAAGCCATGTGCTAATTTTCCTGAACCAAAAGTGAACCAGCCTTCCCAGCTGTTTGGCTCTGCTCGATTTCCTGGGTCTGTCCTCTCACCCGATGACAAAATGCCCCCGTTGTTCCCCCTTGGTTACTCTTGGATGCAAAAGGAGTGCCCCCTACCACCCTTGGTCCCACGTGACCCAGGCATCCTCTGGACCCATTCCAAAAGAGCCGTTCCTAATTAGTTGGCCAGCCACAGCCACACCTCGCTCACCACTGCACCTCATCCCTGCTCAGACCCTGGGCCTCTTGGGGCAAGCTCCCTGCCCAGTCCAGGCTCCCAGCCCACCCATGTCCACTGCAGACTAGAGACCGCAGCAGGGCTGAATTTCCACGTTGCATGCATTTCTAGAGACCTCTATAGGAAGACATATGTGTGTATAAAAGCCCATAGATTCTGTCCGTGTGCGTGCTGTCACCTTAGGCATGATCCTCCTGTCTGTTACTTTACGAGTATATCAGTGATCATTCGCCACCAAAGCTATGGCACCCGGTTGGGTGTTGGTATTCTAGACGCTGAGTTTGCATTATCTCCTTTACACTGAGGAGCTGCCATCTCCCCCTTTTACAAATGGGGGGGGCGGGCCCAAGAACTGTGGGTGCATCCGGGAAGGCCCACTCTCCCCCACATGCCATCAGGCGCTCTCTGTGGCTGAGCCTTTAAGAGGGACCAAAGAGCAAGAAATAAATGAGGGGCAATAAGCGCATCTGACTTGACACGGTACGCCAACATTTCGTTTCTCAACAAAATCGCAAAGTGTGTTTATTGTTTTCATCTGGCTGCAAGTCCTTTGTGTATGTGTATGTGTTTATAATGCTTTAACTGATGTGTGTGTGTGTGTGTGTCGATGTGTATGTGTGTGCGTCTGATTTTTATTTGCTGATGTCTCCTCTGTCTTGCTCCAGTGAAGTCCTGAGCAACTTTCCTGTCTTGAATAAAATGTGTAGTTCCCGTGACAGTGGCACCTTCCATGTCCCAGAGACTTGGAGCTGTCAGCTGCTAGGTTGCACTCGGGTCCCCTTCACCTGCCTTTTGCATGGATGAGGTTTATCCTTTTCCTTATTTGACTTCATCAGAAGCACAAATCCACAGTGAACTTCCCAATGTCGAAAAAGCAGTTCTTGCGACCAGAGCAATAGTACAGCGGGGTGGGCACTGACTTTGCACTTGGTCGACCCAGGTTCAATCCCCAGCACCCCAGCTGGTCCTTCAAGCCCTACCAGAAGTGATCCCTGAGTGAAGAGCTAAGAGTAAGCCCTGAGCATCATCACCAGGTGTGGCCCAAAATACAAGCCCCCAAAAGTGGCCTCGGCTCCCGACTTTTCCTCCGAGTTGTCACTGTCTCACTCTGACTTCCGTCTCCTCCTCCTCCTCTCACGCCGCCATCAAACCCAGACAAAGAACAACGGGCAGCGGAACGCGACCTTCCACACTCTGTAGCATTATCCATAAACAAACATGGAGGGAGTGTTCTCACTCACAAATAATCAAAGTCATGCAAATTGAAACAACAATGACGAGGTCTCAATTTTTCACCTCTTAAATTAGCAAAGGGGCTGAGGCGCGCTGAGACTGCTGACGCCCCCACCCCGGGTAGCTGGTGTAAATTGGAAAGCAGTTTGGTAGCATGAATAAAAAGCCTTTCAAGCGGATTTTATCTTTTTTGACCCGGTAACTTCATTCCTAGGCATTTTCAAGAAAGGACATAATCCAGGTGGGGGAACATAGTGCCCTCCCCCCCCCCCCGGGGAACAAGGGCCTCATGAGTAGGCTTCAAACCCGGCACCAGTCCGTGGTCCCCCAAGTATTGTCAGTGGTAGCCTTGACATCCCCGACCTTCACCATGGTGGCCCCAAGCACCCCAAGGTCATCCATCCCAAGTTGCTGAGAATCTCTGGGAGTGCCCCCCAGTGACCCCCCGCCCAGCACGCAGCACCCCCCCCCCCCCACCAAAAAAAAGAAGAAACCACTAAAGAGGAGGAGAAATTGCAGTGTTAATTGCTGTGGTATTTACGGGGGCAGGGGGTCAGGAGCGGTCTCCGGGCCCCTCAGGAGAAGAAAAGTTGGTTGCATTATTTCACCTGCACACTGCCCCCGTAACTCACGTAACTAACTAGCTAACACCATGTGGTCCTTAAAAGGGTCCTCAGAAGGCCAAGCTCCACAGAGATGCTTGGATAGGGTGAGCAGAGGCTGTCAAATTACAGCCCCGTGGCTGCAAGCTGTTTGCAGATACCCGTGCATGGGCAAAGCAAGTGTATCTGAGAGTTGGCCAGGTGTCGGGGCTAGAGTCATCGGACAGTGGATAAGCACCTGCCTTACTCAAGGCCGAACCGGGTTGGAGTCTCCACATCTCACACAGTTCCCTAGTTCCCACTTGGAGTAAGCCCTGAACACAGGCAGGCATAAGCCCTGAACGCTCCCAGAAAGGGAAGATAGGTACCCAGCCACAGGAGGAGGAGGAAGGAAGGACGTCCCCACCATGGCGACGAGTGAGGGCATCCCAGGACATCAAGGCTCAGTCAAGCGCAGCCAGCCTTCCTCCCTCCACCTCTCAGATGCCCCCTGGGAGCCAAGGACAGGCCTCGTACCTGGGAGCTTGGCGGGGGGACACCTGTGCTCAGGGCAGGTACCCCAACATCAACCCCACCTCACTGCCTTCTCCCCACAGGACATCACCGAGAACGGCTGCACGGCCCCCTCTGAGGAGCCACTGCCCAGGCCGGCGCCATCCCCACTGGTGGAGACCAAGCACCGAGAGGACCGGAGGCCCATCACTGTCCACTTCGGCCAGGTAAGTTCCCGTGCTCGGGTGAGGGGACTGCACACAGCAGCTCCATGAGCTAGTATAGATCTCCAGTTCCCACGGTGCAAAGCCTGTTGGGAAGGAGAATGTTCCAGAATTCACAGAAGGCCACAGCCTCCACTCTTGGCCCAAGTAGAAGACACCTGCGTGCCCCCTCCGCCCCCGTCATGCTCTCAGGCCCTAGTTTTGAGGGGCTTCTGTTAGCTAAGCATCTCATTAGGACACTTAAGCATCCAAGGCCCTTCTTGGCACCTCCAAATAGAAGACAGCGAGCGCAATCATTTTGTAAAAAAAAAAAAAAAAGAGGAAGGGGGAGATAAAGAAAGAAATCAATTAGGAGTTCTTTATTAATGTCCTTCCTGAAAATCAGTATCGGACTCAGGCCTCTCAGAGTGAATGCCGACCTGCCCTCCGTGAGAGCCGGTTCCTTGGCTATTTTCACCAGCCTGAGCATTTGGAAAATTGTCTCCTGTTGGATTCTTCTTTTTTTTCTGTCACTTAAGTAAAGCCATCCACTCAGCCGAGAGACTGAAATTTCTGCATCTGTTTCTTCCTGGGCGTAATACTTTACATATATATGCATATATATAAATATACATATATATTTGGTTGATGATTGCACAGCCTCCCCCTGCTTCTCTTGCTTGAACTCTCACCCTTAGCAGAAGTTTCTAATATTACCTGAGAAATGGTTCTTAACAAGAACTTAGCAAGACTCAACTACAACCAGAATTTGCCGGGTTATCTAATCTTGAATCTGCTGATACTTTTGGCTGTTTCCTAGAGAATGTGTGATTGAAACTGTCATCCTGATCTTATCTTAGATGACCATCTTCTTCTCTTAGCATAGGATATAGAAATATGCATGTAAGATGTACCTGTTGTAGGGGTCAGGATTAGTACAGCAGGTAGGGCATTCGCCTTACACACAACTGACCTGGGTTCAGTCCCTGGAACCCTGTGTGGTCCCCAGAGCCATGCCAGAAGTGATCCTAGACCGAAGAGTAAGCCCTGAGCACTTAGCCCAATCCCCCTCTGGGCTCCCCACCAACACTGCCCCCCCCAAAAAAATTTACTTGTTGTAACAGCTGGAGCGATAGCACAGCGGTAGGGCGTTTGCCTTGCACGCAGCCAACATGGCCGACCCAAGTTCGATTCCTCCGCCCCTCTTGGAGAGCCCGGCAAGCTACCGAGAGTATTCGATATGCCAGACACAGTAACAACAAAGTCTCCAATGGAGACGTTACTGGGCCCGCTCGAGCAAATCGACGATCAACGGGAGGGCCTTTACTTACTTACTTACTTAACAGATAAGTATTAAGCATCTCCCATTGGGAACCAGGCTCAAATCCATTTAGGATTAAAGGGAAATATTGAAATAGTGGTAGTGGGTTAGTGTTGGGGTGGCAGGGGGTGTTTGTGAAAACATAGGCTCTTCCTCTGTAATTTGTTATTTCAGAGAATAAGTTATTATTCAGAGAATTAAAGTTGGGGAGGTTCCCTTTACATTTAAAAAACAGTGTTTTTCTTAAAGAAAGAAAAAGTAGCGCCAGGAAGAGGCACCCACTCCACTCGGCACTGCAGGCTTTGGTTTATGATCATCTGCAGATCTCTCTGTTGGCACCCCTGCAGAGCTGCGTCCTGAGGGGGGAGGGGGGGCGAGTTCAGGCCCTGTGGGAGAAGCCTGCGCCCATTCCCAGGGCTGCTGTCTGGGGCCTTCCAGAGCCAGCTTCCTGCCTGCCTTTGTCCTCATTCCTGCGCACACCAGCCTTCCCATGAAAAGAGCCAGCGCCGCCGTCCTCGCTGGAGTTTGGAGCCCAGCGCAGAGAAGGAGGGGGGCAGGAGAGGGGATTTCATGGTGTTAAACATTCCATTTTCGAAGCGCGCGCGCGTGTGTGTGTGTGTGTGTGTGTGTGTGTGTGTGCGCGCACACACACACACACACAGACACGAAAAGGAGGCTGTATTTGAAGCGGAGAAAGGACTCTCCATTTCAGCAAGAAGGAGAGCGGCTTTAATGCCATTCCCAGCTAAATGCAGAATAAGCACGCTGCAGTTGCCCGCAGGTGGGGGCGATAAACAATTAAAAAGAAGAAAAAAGCCACCCCAAACTCTGTGGAAATGAGAGCTGCCTGTGCCTTCCTGGGTCTGGAAACCAGAGAGGGATGAAAGTGGCTCCCCCCACCCCCCCCCCGCCCCTATCCCGCCCCGTTTGTCACTTCCGTCACGTGGCTGCCAGCATTATGCAAGTGTACAGGAAGGCAGGGTTGTGGTGTTTTTCCCCCCCCCTAATGCATGCATGCGGATTAAGGTCAGGCCCCGAACATCAGCCATGCAGCCGGCTTCCCCTCCAGCTGCAGCCGCAGAGCCTACCCGCAGCCACGCGGTGCCTTAATTGAGACGCGCTGTCAAAGTGACAAACACATTTGCATACAGTCTACACTCTATTTATTTTCTCGGGAAAGGTCCGCCGTCCGCTGTTGGTTGAACATTCTTAATCAGTTTGCTGTAAGTGAAGCTGGCTCTCAGTGCTGGCCTCTTCTTCATTAGGTGACAGATTAGCTGCGGGGGTGGGGGATGGGCTGGGGAAATCAGCAGAGCCTTTTCTTTTAACTCTTTCCCACTTGCCCCACCCCCCCGCCCCCACCCAGCTCGCGATTGATTGATGGGCAGTGCCTCGGCAGCACCTCCTCCTGGCAGCCGGCCCTTGAAAGACCTTCGGCTCTCTCCAAGAGTAGTGAGCGATAGCACAGCAGTAGGGCATTTGCCTTGCACAGGGGTTCGATCCCCAGCATCCCCTACGGTCCCCCGAGCACCACCAGGAATAATTCCTGAGTGCCTGAGCCAGGAGTAACCCCTGAGCATGGCCCGGTGTGACCCCCAAAAGAAAAAAAAAAGAAAGTTTTTACTGGGGCTGGAGCGATAGTACAGCAGCTAGGGGACATGTTCAATCCCAGACATCCTTTATGCCCCCCCCCAAGCACCGCCAGGAGTAATTCCTGAGCACAGAGCCAGGGGTCACCACTGAGCACCACCGGGTATGGCCCCAAAAGCCAAAATATTAAAAAAATTAAATATTTCCTGTGCCACCTCGGGGCTGGAGCCATCGTCCACACAGGTGAATCCCGCCAGGATGTGGATGGTGCTGGGTTCTCAGCACCTCTTTATGAAGCCAGACAGAGCGGTGGGATGGGAGGGTCCCGGCGGCCCCCACTTACCAAGTAGCTCTACAGAGGGAGGGGGGTTTTCTGCAGCCTGTGCAGCAGCAGGACCCCCAGCACCCGCAGCTTTACTGGCTGAGCTGGGTCTCTGCCCCGGCCAGTTCCGCAACTCTGGGTGCCCCCGAGTGCTGAGAAGTCACCTGCAGGGCCCTTCCACCCGCCCCGACCCTGCAGACCCCACTCTGTTCTGGCACCCCCACCGAGCTACAACTGGAAGGCACCTCCCAGACGCCTTCCCCCGCCCCCCCCCCCCCCCCCCCCTCTAGCCTTCACCCTGGCAGAGGTGGGAACTTTACCAGCCACCTGTGCAGCTCGGAGCCTGCCCCTGTGTCTCTCTTCCCAGTGCCTCTGGGAGGCCAAAACCTCTCAATGGTGTCCCCTCCCCCAGGGATCCCACCCCCCCCACACACACACACCCCCCAACGCCCTCTGTCATTACCTCTTTTTTTTTTATTATCTTCCTCTCTTTTTTTTTTTTTTTTTTGGTGTTTGGGCCACAGCCAGCAGTGCTCAGGAATTATCCCTGACTCTGTGTTCAGGAATCCCTCCTTCTTGGCTAGGCTCGGGGGACCCTATGCAGTGCCGGGGGACCGAACCCAGGTCGAATGTGTACACGGCAAGCGCCCTTCCCGCTGTCCTATCTCTTCGCCTTCCACCCTTTTCATTTCTTCTTTAATGCCACTCGCCTTCCCCCCTCAAGAACGTGACTTCCCCCCCCCACCCCCCGTCCAAAGTCATGCCCCACCACCGCCCCACAGCCTGGTACCGAATGGGCGTCCATCCAGGTCACGTTATCAGTGCGGACTTCGTCGTTGGTTTTAGTCGGCCATCGTCTGAGTGAGCAGCCTGGCTGTAAGGCCAGCGAGTGACTTGGTTTTTAGTGCCGTTACTCTGTGTCTGACTGTGAAGAAGACGCCGAAGATGCCCGTGCGTGGTCGGAAGCTGCTGGCAAACGGCTTTCTCTCAACCAGGGCCTGGTTTCCAAGCGGAAACAGCTTGGTGGGGTGGGAATTTTCGTCCTGCCTCATTTCAGCGTGTGTCTTCACAAGCCTTTAAAGGGTGGTGTGGGGCTGGAGAGATAGCACAGCGGATAGGGTGTTTGCCTTGCACGTGGCCAACCTGGGTTCGATTCCCAGCATCCCATATGGTCCCGTGAGCACCGGTCTGAGTGCAGAGCCAGGAGTAACCCCAATGCATCGCCAGGTGGGACCCAAAAAGCAAAATAAAATAAAATAAAGGCCGGTGTGCCAGGCCTCTGGCAGGGAGGGCCTGGGAGTGGTGAGGGAGCATCAAGGGAAGGGAAAGTCCAACAGGCCTTGCGTCCTACCAAATGGAACATTTTTTTTTTAATTTTCCTGTGAGAGACTGGAGTGATAGCACAGCGGGTAGGGTGTTTGCTTTGCACGTGGCTGGCGTGGCCGACCTGGTTTCAATTCCTCTGCCCCTCTCGGAGAGCCCAGCAAGCTACCGAGAGTATCTCACCCGGCAAAACCTGGCAAGCTCCCCGTGGCGTATTTGATACGCGAAACACAGTAACAAGTCTCACAATGGAAACGTTACTGATGCCCACGCAAGCAAATTGATGAACAACAGGAGGACAGTGCTACAGTGAGAGACTGTGGGGCATAATCAAACGCACTGTGTGAGCATAACTGGAGTCTTGTTCCAATACAAAGCTCCTGCGGGGGGGCGGGGAGGGGGTGTTAACTCGGGGCCTGGGGCATGCATGCCCTGGGGCATGTCTGCTCCACGGCTGGTGCTCTTCGG